AAGCGGCAATTAATCGTTCAAAGTCCACTTATGTTATTCTGTGTGCTTAAGATCCTTTTTTTTTTATTTCTACATGTTATCTTAAGGGTTTTTCCATTGTTTTAGTTTTAGTATAACATTATAATACCATTCATATTTTTTTATAATTTAAAGAAGAAACCAATCCGATGTATATTTGACATTTGAGGCTTAATACTATAGAAAAGCACTATTAAAGGTTTTTCAGTTAGTGTTTTTCAGCTTGTTTATTTTCAAATAAAAATACAGCATGCAGTTGCATCAAACAATGGTATAAACATCATTCAATGTAAATTGTGATAATCTTAATTAATAATCGCAATTACAATTTCAAGGGAATAATCGACAATTATTATTTTTGTCATAATCGTGCAGCCCTATCCTAAATAAAATATTTTTCTCTCAAAAATATCGTCATTTGTGTTCCAAAGATGAACGAAGGTCTTACGGATTTGGAACGACATGAGGGTGAGTAATTAATGACAGAATTTTCATTTTTGGGTGAACTATCCCTTTAAAGAAATATTAAAAACGGTAATATTGTGGAACCGTAACATTTTTAAAATGTAATATATTCCTATGATGGCAAAGCTGAATTTTCAGTAGTCTTTACTCAAGTCTTCCGTGTCACATGATCCTTTTTTTTGTCCTCAAGAAACATTTCTTATCAATATTGAAAATAGTTGTGCTTATTATTATTTTTGTGGAAACCGTAATACAGTTTTCTTTCAGGATTCTTATTTGGGAGAAAAAAAATATATATATTTGAAAAAGAAAAAAAACACGCACACATATCTTACTGACCCCCCCAAAAAAACAGTACTCATAGAGCACAAATTATCCAGAGAAATCAAAGATTAAATAAATAAATCTGACTTCCTCCCACATGATTTAAAATGTCATAAGACTATTAATCTTCATCTTGACACTTGGCCCGACACACTGTCATTCTTATTCTTCTATCCTTGCTTGTTTACAGAGCAAGACAGAGATTTTTTCCTATGTGAGTATCAGTCACAATATGCTGAGTCACTGTTGCTACAAAGCGCAGCAACTACAAAATAATTTGATGTTAAACCTCTCTCTCTTCCACTGTCAAAAGGGCTTCTTCTGTTGCAGCTCTTGTAAACTTCTGCCCTGCTTTTTCTGACTGTTCCTTTCTGTGGCTGTGCATGGAGTAGATGGGAACTGACAGTAATCACTAAGATAGAAATACAGTCAATTTACAGAATGAAACCTTCTTACTACCCAAAATAAACTGCTTGGGAGCGCAAATATGAAATCATTTACGAAAGCAGTTCTTTGCATATATTCAGGAAATTAAACCATTATCATACCGAGAGAGAGAATATCAGTAGTACTGTGAGGCAAATGAAACTAAGACAGGTTAAAGAAGAGGATCGAGTTCCTCAGAGAAAATGGTCTTAAATCTAATGCAAGCGCTCATCCGTTAATATATTTTAGTTGAAATCTATACTATAGACATTGTTGTTCATAACCCGGATAGTTTTTTTTTTTTTTTTTGCTGCCTGTGTTCACACCTTCATTCTAATGTGTTTATCTATCTGATCTGTTTTTCGACATTTTTGTGCTGATTTTAAGGGGGAAAACGTCATTTTTTAAAAATACATACTGGCAGAATGTATTTAATACTCTATTCTGTTAAGTGGAACAGAGTATTACACTTATATCGACAGAAGAAAACAAAAACAAAAAAAGATTTTGATTTGAATTTTATGAAAAGAATTGCAATTCTTGGAAATTCAGGGGAGTTTTCTCTGAGCGCAGATTTTGTGGTGGCTTTAAAGGGTAAAAAAAAAAAAAAACACGTTTAGCCAAAAATTACCATTATGTCATCATTTAGGCCTACTTACCCTCATGCTGTTTTCCCAAGATATTTTGAATGGTAACCAAACAGTTTTGGTTACCACTGTATTCCAATGTATGGACAAAAAAAAAAAAACAGACATTTCTCAGAATATCTTCTTTTATGCTCCACAGAAGAAAGTCTGTCATACATCTTCGGAACAACTTGAAAGTGAGAAAATGATGACAGAATTTTCTTTTTTCGGTGAACTCTCTCTTTAAGGCCTGTTCAATCCAAGACGAAAGCTTGGTGTGAAATTTTGGTGCTGTGAACATTTTAATTTGAATTACTGCCAAAATGTATACAATCTCGGAGCAGCACACTTTTCCTTCATTCTCTAAGGTTCATCAAAAAAAGTCTAATGTGGTACAAAGAGAGGAAACAACGTAGCCTTGTGTGTCGAACACACACAGCTGGCAGAAACCCGTTCCTCTCACTTCCTCAGGGCCTCCCTGTACACCCAGCACAATCTGAAATATCTGGAATCCAAGTAAAATCAACCAAAAAGGGTATTAGGTAGATAATGTATGGACATTCTGTTACATTAGATTCTGTTCAGTGCAAATGGTGAAATTATGCATTGCAGTCTACATGGCAGAGTACTTCAGTGATGTCTTCGAATAAAAGCCCTTATTACATGGAAAGAGTTGACACTTTAGCTAATTTGACACAAATTAAAAGGATTAAGAATAGAAGTACACCATGTCCAATACATTGTACTATCATGTACTTGGGTGTCAAACACCCAGCCAACAAAACAAAAATATCTCTTTTTGGATGAACTATGACTTCAAAGATTTCAAGTAAGTGTAAAAAAAAAAACAATAAGCAGAATAATAAGCAATGCCTCTGTACACTACTTCAATGTGTTTGCATTTGTGCCGATACGGTTTACTGCCAAAAAGCACTGTAATTCTTCTATAAATAGCCCAAAGTAACACTGTAAGTCACTGAATTATGAGGAACAATCATGAGGAACAATAATGCTAGTAAACGCTAAAACCAAACCTGGCTTTATAAATTATACTCAAAGGTCACAATCTGACTTCCCATGTTAAATACACATTAACTTAACTATAACACAATTTGAAAGGTGCCAGCTGTTAAGACACTCTTGATCATGAGTATCTGGTCTGCATCACACTTCTCTTCTACGGTTAACCTTCCGCTGAAGCAAAACGATGAGAGAACAGAGATCAGGTTGCATTAGACTAGATCAGCGTTTCCCAACCTTTTTTTAGTCGCGGCACCCTTTGGAAATTTTAACAAACTTGTGGCACCCTACAAAATTAATTTTGTCACAATATTTGAATTTCTAACTTCGATATGATAATTTGAAAAGTATAGATATTCGGTACAACAGGGAAGAACTGCAGAATATAATGTCATACAGATATTTTTAATATTATTAAAAAATGTTGTCCATCAATGGTGGCAATCAGTAGGCTAATTTCTAATGAAGAGACCAATTTATATGACAGATTTTAATGTAGGCTTTTATACATATGTAAACATTATTTAATTACCATTATAACTAGCTATCTCACAAATTTTTGCTCACTCAGTGTTTTTTTTATTTTACAGTGGGGTAATTTTGGTGCAGTAGCACGAGATAGCTTGATTTCAAACTTTGAATTGAATAAAAAATAACAAGTAAGCAGTCAGTAATAAAATAAGAAATAAAGAAATTAATAATGATAGCACAAACAAAAAATAATGACAGGCCTTCGAATTAAATAAAT